TTTACCGTCAAGTATAAGGAAATCGTGAAATTTACAAATTAACACAAAACATGTTTTTAAGAAAACATGCTATAAGATCGGTATTTGCTCCATGGCCAATCAAATTAGATCGAATTAGCTGAATAACTGCGTGATTTTATTCTAGATGCTCATGTCAAACATGAGATGAACGCCACATGGTTCAACGATGGCCCAATCCGATACAATCCAGAAATTGGCCTCCCGGAATACCATATCATGTCACTGGAGCATGATTACTGTAATGGCGTGTTTCATTACACGATTACGGCAAATTCCTCTAGAGTTGGTAGGTTATCATCCATGTTTTAACTTCAGTTCAGAGTAAATCTACTACGCCTTTTTGGACATTCACTTTTTTGGAGTAGAATGAGAAAAAGGCGATTGGCTAGTAGCACGCTTCGACTGGTAATGGGTAAGTCTAAGCGAGTTGTGACACGAAATCAACGCCTTACCAGAATTATTGACATTTAGTTTTTTGTTTATATGAGATAACTACTATAAAGTTGTTTGTTATAGGTGACTTTAGTTGCTTACTAGGAATGGTAAATCTGAAACGAGCTATCGGTTACCATCTTGTGCAGGTGAGTATAATTTGCATGAAAATGTAAGCAGTAATTTGAATAATTGCTCTTGTAGAGCTATATCCCAACAGGGTTAATCGTCGCAATCTCATGGGTTTCATTCTGGATCGACCGAAGAGCCGTCCCGGCACGGGTATCGCTATCTTTTACGACGTTGTTAACATTAAGCACACAGGTATGAATTTGCAGAACGGATTATGTTGAGATATATAGACCTTTGTTTTTTTAGGGTAATGGCATAAGATATGCTCTACCAGCAGTCTCTTATGCCAAGGCTATAGATTACTTTTATGGAGGTGAGAGTTTTATTCATTAGCTGTTTTAGAACTTATTTAAAGTGGAGCGACTATCACCACAGTCTCTGAGAAGAGGAAAATTTAAAACGGTTTAAAGCGCGAATCCAAGATCACAGATTCCTGAGTCCGTCAATCCTTTAATACTGTGAACGGTTGTCTTAAAATTGATAACGTGCTCCATTGTGGCATGCTTTTTCAACAATTTTTGTGTCTCTAAATAGCTCTTAAAAAATCACTCTGTTAAGCACAATAGGTAGATGT